ATAATAGTTGATTGTTACTTATGTAAATGATAAGTTTAATTAGTTATTTTTCTGTTTATAATATTTATACGCTCTTTTCCTACCTTGGCCACATGGAACACAAAGCTGAAGACTCGATTTAGTCTCTCAACCACATCCTTTACAGGTTGTGGAATTATTATACTCTTTCGAATCTTGAATGTATGGGTAGCACAATATTGTCCTTTTACTGGGTTTTTACACAATTTAGTATCTCCAACTAATAACCAATTACAAGGCATTTTTGATTCACAAAGTGGTTATATTATTCTCACTTTCATATTTAAAATTAAATTCGAAAATGAAAAATTAACCAAATATCGTTTTTAGGCGTCACAAAAACCAGTATATTGGTATAAAGAACAGAGTTTTCATTATATTTTAATTTGAAAATTTTATATTGCCCATATGTAGGAGCAAAAATTTCCCTATATCAAAGCTTCTACTTGCGAAATTTACCTACCTATTCACTCCTTACTGATCGAGTAATTTACTATAACATACTATTTTCCTGGAGTATGTTAATCGTTTTTTTCCATTCCTCATCAGTATCCAGCCATGATGAGGTGATTCCATCTTCCTTGAGAGAACGGTGGATTATTTCTTCACTTATTAATCTTTCTCGCACTGTCATATCCATATATTTACTGGGATTTTCTTCAGCCTCCTTTGCAAAACCACACATTCTCGCATCAGTCTGCATTCTATCGCAGAATGCTTTGGAATCGATCTTATCTTTATCAGTTATAGTAACAAATTTGATAGGATCTTCACCAAGTTTAATGGCTTTTTGCCTTAATCGTATTTCTCGTTGCTCTCTGGTTTGATATCCGGGTAGGTATGATATCTGCTGGGATGATACTTCATTACTGGTTTTTGGTTCATTGTTTACAGCATTGTTTACAGGTGAGTCGGGAGAGATTTCAGAAGATTTGGATTTATCGTCTATGACCTCAGGAGATATGGATGTATTAGTAGACTCAGATGACGAAGCAACTGAATATTCTGGTTAATCTATTATCGAATCGAAAAAATTCTGGGTCATATTAGTAATAGGAGGGTGGTTACTATTTCCTTACCTTTTTCGTTTCGATTGGTGGTTAATAGAATAGGATCTATTTTTTCTGGTTGGTATGTAACAATTTCGGGTACATCGAATACAGGGATATCTGTAGATGCGTTGGAGGATATCTTGGATTGAGGTGTGTCAGAAAATTCTTTGATATCGATACCCGATTCGCGTAGTTTATTCCTGATTTTGAATCGATCAAGGATATAGACCCAGTCTCTTTTCTATTGATTCGTACTTGCTTGCGTTCTATACCAATTGTTGGAGGAGTTTTTCCAAATTTTTTATTAGTAAATGGATTTTCACCATTTCTTTCACACCAAGTACAATATTCCTGATATAAATTTGAATATATTGAATTCTCAGTTCTATTTTCAGGCCAAGATGAAATATGATCGATCATAAATCGTTTCGGGTTTGGTAAATGTTCCAACATTATATCTGTTTTTATTTTAGTAGCAGGAATATCTTGTAGATTCCAATCTGAGATATCAAGACTGAGTAAATAAGCCATAATTACATTTGGTGCGTTAGGGTGCTCGAGTACTTTGGCCAAATTCTTAAAATATGCCACATTACCTTTACAATGAGAAGATATATCGAAACACACGATACACCGATCACTTATTTCTATTCGAAGTAAAGCATCATGATTACTTAATACCATAAACCCAGCATAATCTTTTATGACTTTTGGTTCGATATCTTTGCGTTCAACTGTTAAATAATCTTCTGTGATAAGTGATTTAAGATGATCATTATACTTATTCCAATCTCCACTA